AAAAGAATGTGAATCCCATAGGTTGAGATAAGAACAGTCCAGTAACTAAGGTATAACACAAACCACTACTGCTACCACCAATGATAATAATGATAAGGGAAATAACAAGGAGTGAGAATACAATTGCTCACCACCCGCCACTGATACCCAGCCTGACCCAAGCAGTGATATGGGCCTTCCAGGTAACTCCTCCCAGTTTATATACTGGGCCTGATGTGCTGTGGTGTGGAATACCCCTTTGGCTAGTTTGGGTCAGGTGTCCTGTCTCTGCCTCCTCCTGGCTTCCCGTGCCCTCCTCACTGGCAGAGCATGAGACTGAAAAGTCCTTGATCTGAGTAAACATTATTTAGCACAACTAAAACATCAGTGTGTTATCAGCGTTGTTCTCAGGCTAAAGTTGAAAACACAGCACTGCACCAGCTACTAGGAAGGAGAAACAGCTGAACCCAGGACAGTCTGCTTCTGGTTTTCTCAGTGTTTTCCTCTTATAATCATGTAGTGCACGCTGGAAATGATCAATCAAGGCTCATGCACATCTTTTCATGCTAGCAAGTGAAAAATCAATTCGTGTTCGAAGGAGTAAACAGTAGTATGAGCTTCACCTCCCCATAGTCAAAATAGATTCCTTGATAAAGGAGATGACAATGAAAGCTGAACTCTTGATGTGTAAGCACACAGGTGCTCATACGCAAAAAATCAGAGTGGGTTTCCTACATTCATTTAACATGCTACATTTATCTTTCCAGTAAAATAAAGATAGGAAGAAGCGATTACTTGTTGAATGCCAAATGTGCGTCAGTAAAGCAAGAGGGATTATTCACAGTTTATCCAGATGAGAATGTAGTTGGTCAGTTCTGACAAAGACATTATTCATCATGTATTTCTTTTTTCTGACTCTACATTTGAATTTTCAGAACTATTCTGACAATCTGTTAGAAGGTCTTGTTGCTATCATTTCTGAGAAATGCCTGCTGTTGGATGTAAATTACAGGGAAAAGAAACTTGCATGATTTTTCTGTGCTGCAAAAACAAAATCTGATCTCATCCAGGTTATAAATTGTCCAGGAGGTAAGACTGGTCAAGGAACTGTTGAATGAATAAATGGAAGGTTAGATCAACATGACTCATCAGATATTATAACCATTCACCCAATGTCATTTGATCTGCATAACATTAAAAGCTACTGTTCCCTCACTCTTAGATTTCTGACCTCTTTCCCTCCCTTTAAAGTTTAGCCCTGAGCCACCCAAGCCATACATTAAACCTTTGGTTCCACATCATTTAAGTTCTGTTCTGTTCTCTTGTGAGTCTGAAACATGAAGAGACCCTTATAACACTGACTTGTATTAGGTGGAATATTTTGATCATCTGACCTGTCCCTTTTTTTAGCGAGCAGTATTTAAAAGTAAACATGAAGGTTTCTGATGCAAAAGAGCTTTGCCAGATTAAAATGAAACTGGAAGATGAGTTCAATGTAGCATATAGCTATTTTGAATTGGTTTTGTTTTGTTTGAAGCTTTATTACCTCAGGACGTCTGTCTACGGCTTAGGTAATATTCACTTCTGTCTGGGATTCACGAATGCACTGCCATCTGAGAGAAGAGCTCATGATGTGAAATGCAAGTACTCAGTCTTACGGAAGCCACATTTCTGTCCTTTTGGCTGTGTTGGACTATGCTGCTCACAATGGAAGAAAATCACCAAAAGCATGCACAAATTCAGGCTGTGATCTCCTTTTTAGGAGGTTACTGATGAAACGTGAAGAGGAGAAGGGTGGAGAATCACACAATGGGTCCTAAACCACTTCATTTTTATTAGATTAGGAAAGTAGTAGGATGGATGGGTGTCCCATCTCGGCTAAACTACAGGAGGAAGATGGCATCTTATTAACGGCAATTCTAATAACAATTTGTTATAGCACTAGCACTGGAGAACGTGGTTAATATTGTATGTGCTCTGTTTCATTCTGTCCTGATGAATCTGCATGGGTGCCGTGGTGTGCCATGGGGGACTGCTTGCACTTGTTAGCTGAATGCAAGTGTTTATGGACAATTAAACTTCCAATTTTTGATTCACGCTTTGAAAGGTTGCTTTTTTTCTTTTTCTTTTTTCGTTTTCTTTCCAGGATAGATCTGTGCCTTTCAAGTCTCTTAGAATGTGTAACTGTAGCATGAATTTAGAAAAATGGTCTCATTTCTTTAGAAATCCACTAATAGTAATGTACGGAAAGACTCTTACATTGATCTTCTCTCGATAGCTATGTTGTAATAATTATTCTTTTAATGTTTGCATCAATCTAAATGTTTTCCTCTTTGTGCTAGCTCCTGCTTGGTTCTCCCTAGATGACGATCACAGCACTTTGACATCTTGCATTACTTTAATACCAGTGATTCAAAACAAAGCAATGCCAAAGGGAACAAAAGTTCTGTCAAGCCATTAAAATCTTCTTTGCCATTAAAGCAATTAAATTGATGCATAAGCATTTAAAGTTATTAGCAAGTGCTGCCAGCAGAAGCTGATTGTGATTGCATAATATATAGTGGGCTTTATTAAAGTAAAATGGTATGTTTATTGTTATTATCATCATTAGTTCTGAAGTAGCATAAACTTAAACAGGGCTGTGAATTGTGAGAGGACTGTGAAACAAGTTAAAACATGCTCTGCACTGTGTTAACAGTCAGGAACAGGATTATGACAATTAAGACATTTCTAAACAAAAGAATACACATGGTATCTTGGTTAACCATTGAAAATGGCATGTGTAATGGTAGGGAGGGGTGTTAAATAAAGAGAAGACTGCTGTATCTCTGCTGCTGTCACTCTTCCCAGTCTTCACTCACTTGGCTGGGTTTTGGGCTGCTCCTGTTACTGCTGTGAAAGGTTTTGTGATTGGTGTGCAAGCTGATGGGGGGAGTATTTGTTTTGTTTTCTCATATTCCAACATACTAATTTTTCATTGAAAAAAATCAGGAATGTATTAGAGACATATGTACTCCCACTGTCCCACTGCATAGTGTAGTAATATTGGTGCTTGCTAGTCTTAAAGTTAACTATTCCTCACTGAATGGAGAGTTGGTATGGGGTATGGAAAACAGGGACTTACAGGTATTGAGAGGGAAAAAAGTGATTTAAGTGAAACGCTGGTGGATGAAGGGAGGCCAGTGAAGTACTGGAATATCAAGTTGTGCGGTATGAGGGTGAGCTGCGTGCCTATTGCAGTTAATGCTGACCATCCACTGAAAGTTCTCAAGCTAGGTTTGTTAGGTGGAATTCGAGCAGAGTAGAAACTAGGGACAAAAGGTAAGGTTCTTTTTTCTGGTCAGTTGAGTGTTTTTAAGTGATGCTATGGAAAATAAAATTATAATCTATAGTTGCTGAAGGAGATAAAAATCACTAATATCCCTGCAGTGTACTCATATTCACTTGAGTACTTCTTTACCAAGATATTGATGAACTGTTGGAAATTCAGAGAACAGTGATGAAATAAGCCACAGGGATGGGAAATGTGTATCAGGAAAGAAGGCAAAAGTTCAACATTCATCCTTTGAGAAAAGTGAAGTGAAATTCTGCATGTGTGTGCATGGTGTAAATATGAAGGGAAGAAATGAGTAATGGGAAGAGCTCTACAGAAAGGCTGAGGTATCACTGAAAGCAAAATTTTAACAATTATCACAAAAAAGGGCTGAACAGTTTATAGCACTGGTCCATATTTTATTAAGGGAAGGGATGGGAGACCCATTTCCCTACAGTTTCTATGTCAAACTAGTGATAGTACAAGAAGAAACAGGGAAAATGTGCTACTTTAGCAGAGCGTGAACTTGGTGATCTAATAGGTCATTCTGGTCTACGGCTTTGGTAGCTGTGTGGATTTATTCTTGAAGCTTAGTGCTGGCTGAAATACAGGAGGAAAGCCATGGTCAGTGCTTTTGGTCAAGCTCTATAGCAGATTAGGATAACAGGGATTGAGTTTAGTCATGAATGTCTTTTACCAAACTAGTTAACAAGGGCACTACAGTGAAGTGTCAGGCAGAAAAGTGTCACTGAATATTCATGAAGTGCTTACCTGGTTTTTGGTACATTCCTAAATATTGTTTCTTCTCTTCTGCTGTACCCCTGTGATAAGAGCCCATCACAACTACCTACAAGTGCTACAAAATGATTGTACACATGGGTCCACCTGTTGTTTATGTAATTATTCACAGTAGTCAGAGGTTTTGAGCTCTTTCATGTTCTTGGAATGAGGGATTGTGGCACATGCTGTAAGTACCATTTAAAAATGAGTATTTTCAATTGGAAGGCATTAAGGGCACCACTCTGTGTGTGCATGGGTATGGTTGTGTGCATACATATATTGCAACTTTCTAAGGGGAAAAGGAGTATCTGTCAAGCCTCTTGAGGTGGATTCCCTTGTGCTGTTCAGTCTTCAGAGGATACTTAACCTGTGACAGGCTGATGAAGTGAGAGACAACAAAATCAGCAAGCCACCCTTACAGTCCAACCAGTATTTTACTACAGTATGTATTTAAGTTTTAAGAGCTGCCTTGGCTGTTAGCCTATTAAGCTGTAGGTTAAGATAGTTGATGATAACAGCTTTCTCCTAACTGTTATCACCTCTGTCCTTCACTGCAGCGTGCAGCAAGTTAAACCAAACCTCGCCTTCTCTTTGAAGGCTGCTGATAGGAGTAGCAGCGGGATCTTCTTCAATACAGAAGTTTCAGGCAATTCCAGTGCCAGTCCTCAGCTGTGAGGAAATCAGAGTACTTTATTGCTTCAGAAGTGTTCTTAGTAGCACAAAGCAGTGCAGAAGAAAAAACTTTTGACAAAATGGATCTTGCTGATGATTTATGTTGACCTGAACTGGAAAATCTGGTAGGCAGCAAGCATGGATACAGCAGTCTTCAAAGAGAGGCTTGTTACCTGTTTACCTCTGTGGTTGTAGTCACTGAACTTTGCATCCAGCACCTGACTAAACATTTCTTTCTTTCTTTGCACCTAGGTTCCCAATGACTCCAGCTGTGTGGAAGACATATTACGGGTGAGTAATACCCTTTGCTTTTCTGTATAGCTGTAGTGCTGCTATTTCATCTTTCAGGGAGAAGAATTATATGGCTGTCTTTAACACTGTAGGGTAAATAATAACATTTTAGTGGGTCTGTATTAAAAACACACAGGCAAGTGGTAGGCCCAGGGTGCTCCTTAGTGAGTAAGGTTAGTTCACCTCATACTCTGCATCTGTCAGCTTGTCGCAGTCAGGATTTACACACATTCCTGGGGTTTTTAAGCTCTTAATCTTTGTGAGTCTCTCCAGGACATATTTCTCTCCTACCCTGAGGTGGAGTTACCTTAATTCTCTCACTCATAGACTGACCTACAGTCTTCTTCCTTATTCACCCGAGCTACAGTTGCTCATCATTCATGGTTTTGTTAAACACTCGGTTATTTCTTTTTCCAGGAGCTCTGGTCAGTGGTTTAATGCAGAAAATTAAAACCATTCTAACTGAGCATGGTTTAATCGTAACAAGATCATATAATAAAGGGGACTGTGCACAACTTGTGTACATGTAAATCTGCATTACTTAAGATAGGCTTTTCCTCAGACACCCCAATTTTGACATCCCCTGTTGGCAGCTGGGGTCAGGTTTGCAACCCAGCAGTCCCTATCTGGAATTTAGGTTTTTGTCCTCGTGGGTTATCTCTCATCTGTCAGAGCTGCTTCCTTGGATTGACAGTCAACTTCCTGGGGTTCAGTGCAGAGGGTATAAAATTTCAATAGGAATTTGTGCTGGCCATGTTCTTGCCACTAGGAGCAACTGGTACAGACCTCAAATCATCTGTAACAATTGTGTCAACTTGCTTGCAAATACGTGGACTTGTTCTTACTTATAAAATGGGCTTCTCAGTATCCACTGCAATCCAGACTTAAGTAGTTTGGGAAACTTGCTTCTGTTATGTGCACACACGTTATCTCGGGATGCTGTTGATGTCCTTATAGGTTGCCAGTGTTGCTGCAGAAGTATGTTGAACCAGCAGGCAAGCATGCACGTGCAGACCTGCAGTAACAGAGGAGAATACATCTGCATGTGCACCCAGAAGCAATGAATGCATGCTAATAAATAAAATCTAGTTTCAACCCTCAAAGTGAACAGGGGTTTAGTACCTATTGGACACTAAGGGTGCAAAAGCAAAGAAAGTGTTGCAAGGCTATTTGAAATACTTGGTACATTGTAAATGTCTTCTTCCCCTGTTTATATATTTCAATTAGGTTCTTTACTATAGTTGTAATGAATGACTTGTTAGCTGGGGAAAGCAGTTGTCCAGTAAACAGCATCAAAAAGAAATGTGATGTAGTGAATTTCAGGGATCAATCATCCAGGTGCCAGTTTTAATGTGGGAACAGTTATATAAATCATAGGTATATAAATCAGGTATATAAATCATAGGAAGCAGAAATGTCCTTTTTCTAATCAAAAGGAGGTGATACTATTTCCTACCCCATGGCTGCAGTTTAAGTCAACAGAGTCAGAATGTCCTAGGCTTCCTTCTGAAACCTGCTGTAATCAGTGCAGGATTCTGATGATGATGACAGCAGAGGATGGGGATGAACTTCAGAGTCCCTGCAGCTGGTCCCAGTAGGCTGTTAAACTTGGGGTGGACAGAGCAGGGATGTAGCAGGTTTCCATGTCTCTGGTGATCTGTCTCACAAGACCATATAATGGGCAACTGAAAGAGGGGTATAAACCAGCAGATCTTTCTTGACGGCTGGGTGCAGATGCCTGGAGGTGCTCCCGGTGCCCATCCTTGCCATTCAGACATGGAGTAAACCTGTCATCTACAGGTGTAGCCAGAAGCTATATTGAGTGCATGAGACCGTATGTGCTGGGTACAGGGTTGGCACAGAGCAGTGAGTGTGGGACCTCACCACATGTGCAGCTAGGTGAGAAAGCAGCAGATCACAGAACCACTTCTGAGGCTGCCCATCAAAGGCCCAGCAAGTCCCAGTCCCAACTGGTTGCCTTCAGTGGCAGCTAAATTAGGCTTTCAACTTTGTATGGTGGCTGAAGCACATGTGGAAGTAGAAGTACCTCAGTTTTGTTAGTGACTTTCTTCTTCTCAAATTTATAATGCAGAATGAGCTAGTGGAAAATGTGTTTTGGCTTCATGCAGAGTATCATATTCTACTTGATAGGCAATGAAGAGAAAATAAAAGAATGCGATGCCCAGCAGTAGTCAAAATCCAGTCTTCAGGCTCCCCGTGGAAGGCCTGTGTCAGGAGATTGTCTGCTCCAGATAAAAGGATGACCCTTGGTTTCAGCAGCTGTTTGTGCTTTAAGAGTGTGGATTAAGTTCCTAGCTCTGACAGATCCTTTCTGGCCTTTTGGGGCCATTTATGTAGACCCTGAAGAGCCTCTGGGAGTGTGGCCCTCTGCTCCCTGATGGCAGTTTCCCCATGTAAAATCTAGGCTATTAACGTTTCCATCCTGTCAGGGATGTTGCCGAGGTAAACAAGAGGAATTACAAGACGGGTTCTGAAGGTAGACAGATGGGGCTGTAATAATGTGCATTTTGACCAGCCAAACCATTGACAACTACTGGCAATTTCTGCTGTGAGCCACATCCACTCCTGAACTGTGCACCCCAAAGTGCAGGAAGAAAGGTGCTGCTGCCTGCCTTTCCCCAGCCCTGTCTGTCTCCCTCTCCCTTGGGAGAGATCATTTCATGCCTTGAATTTTGCTCCTTTGTCTCTTTTTCAGTCAGGGGATTAAGTGACTTAATTCAGTTTCACCCCTCTGAAAGACACAGTAATTCTTCTAGGTTTTTTTCCTAGGCTTTACAAGGAAGAGGTACCATGTTAAGATTTGTGACCTCTGATTTTACAGAGCTCTTTTTTCAAGCTGAACTTGATTAATGGGTTTTGTAATTGTAGAGGTTTGCAATTCCTAATCTCTCTTTTATTTCCTTTTTTCTTTTTTTTTTTCTTTTTTTTTTCTTTAGGAAAAAGAAGTTTTAATTGAGTTTATGGTCAAAAATTTTCATCAGAGAGAGGGGAAAGGTCTTGAGTCTGTTCAAACCCCTGAGTCTTCAGAGGCAAAATTTCATAGTCCTTCAGATTTCCTGAAACAGTCAGCCACTTATGTCATCTTGTGTAAATGCTTTAAGGACTCTTCTGATACTATAACCAAAGGTTAATGGCAGAGCGGTCTCTTGTTGATTTTGCTTTCCTAACCATGATGGCTGTAAAGGTTGTTAATAAAATAATCTCTCTTCAATAACTAAGGCCAAGCTGTAAAGGTAGTACAGGAGATTTGTATTTCATAAAGGTTGCTAATAGCAAATTAAAAGATGAAGGTGAATACATGGGTGCTCGGTACGCTTTTTTCTGTTCCAAAATGTGGCTTATTTTTTAAGCTGCATAATGGCTTTGAAAGTGTGGGTAACGTGGAAGACAGGCACTTAACAGTGTATGAGTGTGTAATTCACATTATATTAATATGGACTTAAATTAAGTTGTCACTTGCTATGTGCAGCCATTGAAAAATGAGCTCGTTGAAAAGTTGTGATACAAAGTGCAAATGGGGCAATAGAAATGACATTTTAAGCCAGTGTTCTGATGCTGTTACTTGTGCCACTTGTACCAGTGCTCCATCAGCATTCCCTGCTCTCATGGCATGTTATGTGACATGTTCTGCTGGTCCCAGTATAGGGCTGTGTGTCAGTGCAAACTAGCAGACAACCTGTTTCTACCTAGAATGAGCACAGTAGGGACCTCCCTTCGCATTGGTTGACTTCTGGGCAGAGAGGTGATAAGCATACAACATTATACGGGAAAGAAAGGAAATCTTATTTATTTAACTACATGTTCTTGAGGACTTGCAGTGTAAATTGAAACTTTGGGCTAGGTGTTTAGGCAATCGATTAGATGTAATCTTGCAGCAGGGAGGCTCTGGTCTGTACATACAAAGCTTTCGTGTCTGTGTTGCTAACCATCTGGGCAGGCACTGCTGTCTAAAAATCTGTCCCTGCTTAAAGGAACAAAATAACTCTTGTAGATGCATATTCATTGTAGTAAGCCATCAAGTAGCTAGATGGACTCTTCTGATGTTATGTGGACAGCTGTGGTATTAATTAAAGGCTTTCTAGTCTGGAAGCAAAACAAATCCTAAATATAATTCAGATCGTAATTAGTATAAAATGACTAGAGTTAAATGAGCAAAGTCTGTAATTTGTATAGTCTTCTATTCATCTGATGACTAGGTAATATCTAATGACATTGGAGAATATGTAAATTGATCAGCAAGTGAAGATGCCCTTGACTAGGCAAATTATGTGTAGTATTACCTTCCTTATGCCAATTGAAAGCACTAACAAATTTAATGTGTGTCATCCGTAGCTGAGGTGAGCTGCTCACAGAGCAAAATTAGACTGTAACAGATACAGACTGTTATTTGCCTCTCAGTAGTTTTCTCTTTCAAAATACAAACCAACATTGAACAATGGTACACCCAATTATAATAATTGTACTTTGAAAAACACAGGTACTCTGTCCAGTGTAGTCGCAAATGTATTTAGTAACTCATGGGCAGTTTAAATATTTTCATGTAGAATCTGGGGGCTTGCTGAGGAGGACATGATGTGAATTTCAAATGACCATCTAGACGTCATTGGACAAGTGAATAACGAGCTGACTGGCCTAGTAAATCATGTGAACCTGTCAACTGTGGAAACACATTGGGGAGGAGATGATGTCAAGTAACAGTAACTTAGCAACCTGGCATTTAGCTGTCCAGAGAATGAGTAAGAGTAGCCACTTTTAAATAGCTGAGTAAATAAATGAATCCCTATACATCTTAGGTGTGCTATAAAAATAGCCCAGCACCGTATGTTTTCTGTCAAGCTGCTTCTTTCTCCAGGATAAGGTGATTTATTATTTCTACTGAAATGAAAAAATGGACTGAAAAGTTAACCCACGTGTAAATGTGTATCTGCGGCCTTTGTCCCTTGCCTGGTGTGCAGCCTTTGGAAGCATGTAAGGAATGG